TTCCTGTGTCTCACCTCTGTTTACTGTCTCTATTATGCATTTCTTCTCTTGCTTTGTGTGGTACATGGAGGGAGTGTGACGACTTGAACTGTCGCACATATGTGCAGAATTCTATGTCGAAAACAGACAGACATGTGACCCGACACAAAGATTTTGCAGAAAGCATCATTATCTGTGACATGCGCTGATCTTTTGTTCGTAGACAAATTTCATAAAAATTATCAGAGTCTAGTTACCAGCAAACAAATAATGTTCAAAGTTGCCTCCGATTAGTTCGAGGCTACTTCGCTTTTTGTCTAGTACACTGGTTAGCGTAATGCTTTGTGAGTCATCTAATAGCCTTATTCATAACAAGTATTTCCTCAATACCCATAATGGTAATTCTGTACTGGACACACAAACTTGGCTTTGAATAAAACTGTTGTTTATTGCGTACCGATCAAAACATACATCTGTAATGACTCACCCGTTGTTTATTAGTCCCCATTAGGTGTGAATGCTCCTGGTATTAAATAAGGGCTCGCTATCGAGTGGAAGTCACTTGATTGCAATGAAAGGTTGATGAAGACTGTTAGTAAGTGATGTTTTATCTCCGAAAATGTGACATTGACATAGAAAGGAAAGTAAAATGTGGCAGATATACGGATTACTTCTCAATAGACATTTCTGTGTTCTCCCAGACTTCATAGGGATCACAGGTTTTATTCAGCCCCAAAGGTAAAATAAACAATGCTAACCACTGCTTACATTAATGGCGCAAGGGTAAGATAACAGTTAGATGAAATGTGTTGACCAACTGAGACACATAACAAGACTCTAGGTAAGCAGTGTAAACTGTGATTACAGCGATACCAAGCATGTTTTGATAATGCAAAAGGTAGTTAAGAGATGACTTGACGTTCTGCTCTTTACTGCATCGGAATTTATAAGGTTGGGTGCTTGCTGACTAACTTCAAGCCAATGATGCTGGGTTGAAACCTGTTTAAAATAATGTAGTTGACATGCTCTTGTCGGTCAGGTGGAGACATCAATATGCAGATGTTTGCCAAAGCGTATATTTCACTACATCCACCAGCTGCGTTTCAAAAATTACAATTCTCTTGAGCCTATTTAGTATACCTCTATGCTCGAAGCGCACACTGAAATAACTCCGACCATCTTTTTATCTAATATGCCTATTGAGCTCTTCGAAATATTTGTTGTAAACGATGAGTACTTTGTAAGCTGTAGATTGCTGAGAACATAAATATAAATAGTAACAATGGCCACTAAGAACACCAGTACCTGTGATAGACAAAAAAGTTCTCTAAAATATTAAAATGTATTTCTACACTCGAATAAAATTAACTCGCTCATAAACTCTTTCGAAGATAGATATTAGCTTGCAGTCTACCGTAAAAACCATAGGTATCACGTAATAAACTGAATAACAATGTTCTGCTGTCTATTGGGAAAATCAGGCACAAGTGATGAAGAAAAATGAAGAGTGCGATCACGATTTAGAAGCATCTTAGGATTTTGGCTGAAATTACGCACAAACCTCCGTAACGTTATTTCACAAATAACTGTTAAGACTGGAATGTCCATTAAAAACAATTCGTGTTGTATACAAATTTCCGGTCTAGTAATGATTTACTTGGTGATTATCACATGATGCTTCTGTTGTTATGCATTTCGATGCCATCAGTAGAATGGAGTGGATAGGGGTGTTGTGTTTACCGACAGTCATCAGTAAGAAGTATCCGCTAACTGAGGTGTACAGAAATCCCTCAGGAAAACGGAATCCATGAAACTCAGTACTACAGAGATGCTTGGACCAATTATCACCATGGCAGCACGTGTAAATGATACATAAAATGCATTGGTAGACTAGTCAGACATCAAATAAGTTTTTTCTATAGACGTGAAAGGTGAAATTCTCAGCCATTAACCACCTATTCTTACATTTAGAAGATTAAAGAAAATTTTTGATAATTTGGTCTTCTGGTTCTACAATTATATATATATATATATATATATATATATATATATATATATATTGGTGTTTAAAAAAATTAATGTCGATGTTTTAAGATCATTGAAATTACAGTTCAAGAAAGATGCATAAGTTATAATAACCATGAGAGTGTAATAGTAAATAGAACATGAAATAAAATTAAGGAAATTTCTACAACAAAGTAGGGATCATTAAAACCTTCATGTCCAAAGCAAGGAAAGTGTCTGAACCAATTTCTTTCGGATATATAAGTCAGGTTTCTTAAAGTGGATCCCAACAGTCTCAGCTATATGTAGTCGACGAACTCTTGAGGTAAAGTTAACATTAGTTGCTTTGCGATGGATGTCTTTGAAAGCCTCGTTAACATCATGAAGTTTGTATTCTGTATCCACGAGATGAGATAGAATAGAATTGTGAATGGACTTTGTTTCTCCCTTACTTAACCACGCAGAATGGCGTTCAGAAATCCGACTATAAACACGCCTAGTTGTACAGCCTGAGCAGCTGACTGGCTCCACAGGAGCAGTCAAATCGGTAGATATACATACATAAGAGGTGAAATTAGGCACTTTATGTTGAACTCCCGAACGCAAAATACGTGTGGTTTCGAAAACACAGTATAATTCAGCAGCATTGAATGCTCTTTTTACCACATTCTTCAGGTGTTGTGTTAACATATCTCAGTGATGTTATCCCCTAGGAAGTGAATTTATAAGAACAAGGCCTTTCTTTGTTGTAACTGTTGGTACTTTGGCCTGCCTTGACTTTTGAATCATATTCTTAATAATAAATTTTTCTGTGTAACTGTTCTCACTCAGCGACTTACTCTTAATAAACATGCGTAATACACACGTTTTCGAGTATAAGGCTTGCTAACAGTTGTTGAAAGGAAATAAATTTCTTCAATTCTTCCCTTTGATAAATATGAATAAGGCATTAAGAAGACAAATTTCGCGAGATGATATCACTTCGTAGTTTCGTTACAACCACTTTACAACTAACATGGTTAACAAAGTAAATCTATTGAAAACTTAATTAGCCTATTTAATCATATGCATCCAAATATGCGAGTGACTTCCGAACTAGAATCGAATAACAAACTCAGTTTCCTGGATATTACTATGACTAGGAGAGATGATGGAACGATTCAGCGATATATTTTTCGTGAACCGATATGGAGTGGACAATATCTTCATTTGACCAGTTTTGTTCTTATCCAGTATAAACATTCCCCAATGAAATTTTTGTTCTCAAGGGCCCGAAAAATATGCACGAGTAACACATTGATGGATGAGTTTCGACATATACATTCAGTTTTACTAGCCAATGGTTATCCAGAAAACTTCATCAATTGTCACGGTAAGGATAGACCACATCTCGAAAAGACAGCTTCTGTCCCAAAGAAAGCTATCTTTATTAACCTACCATTCAATGGCGACCAGATTATGCAGTTGACAGCTCAAAGACTTCGGTCAGCTATCAAACGCACATTCTTAGCCGCATCTCTTTTTCTCACTTGCCGAACATTTTCGATCCCTGTACCTACCTACGATTAAAGGACCAAATTCTGTGGACTATACTCCAAACTGTATCTACGAGTTCACCTGCAGCTGCGGTGGCACCTATATAGGTAGAACCAACAGAATGTTCCAATGTCGTCCAAAATGGCTACTAAATCATATCGAAAATCCCAACGCCATTAATCTGAATAGAAACCCAGCATCATCCATTGCAAAACACTTATTAATGTCAGGTCATAAAATCAATATTAATGGCTGTTTCACAATTATTTCAAATAACTCTCATTTATGATTATTGAAGGTGATGGGAGCACTTTTGCGGCGTTAAACACATACAGCCTAAACTGTGTGTACAAAAAACAATAGACTTAAATCTTTTCCTACCATGGAAAACATGACCTATCTAAATATGATTGGTCATTAGTATGCACTTTTGTTTTTATTTAACTGAGTAATTTTCATGAACTTCATTTTATCATTGTTAACCATGTTAGTTGTAAAGCGGTTGTAATGAAACTACGAAATGATATCATCTCGCGAAATTTGTCTTCTTAATGCCTTATTCAAATTTATTAAAGGGACCAATTGTTATAATCGTGATTAAATTTAACAAAGAATGCATAAGACCAATCAAACACTGGTAAAATTTGTCCTCGAAAATGCACTGTGTAATGCAAGGTGTAGTCAAAATAGGGTGACTAATTGAAAATTAGAAAATGGAGTGAGAAGTTGTCATGACTTAAAAAGTGTGAGAAAATGACTGGTCAGTATCATTGGAGTGGAGATGAATTAGGAAAACCAGCGGATCTTAAACTGGATCTCTGCATTCAAAAGTATCAGATACATTCACTCACCCTACCGTTCTAATCATCCTTATTTTAGTATCACTCTGTTGCCATATACTACGAAATGAAGATATCATCTCTCGAAATTTGTCTTCTTAATGCCTTATTCAAATTCTTCAATTCTACTTATTTGACAGAGAAGACAGCTTCAATTGTATCATCTGTTCATGCTATAATACCATCAAGTCATGAAAGTGCTTAAATGTTCATTTCTGAAGCTGTTATCTTAACCAAGATGAGTTAACAGATTTCAGACTACTGTAATATGACTAGTGAAAGCACAATGTAAAAGGAATTGTGCTTAATTGAAGTCGGACATCTAGAATCAAAAGTAAGCTCAACTTAATTGTGTCTCGAATTTACTCGGCAAAGATACTTTCGATATTGTCGTTGAAAATCAAATACAACTTCGAAAATGGAACAGTCTGAATGCTGATCAGACAGAACACATTTCTTTTTGTTGACAGTGTAACAGTTTACAAAAGGTATTCAGCATTTCTGTACTCAAATATATATCAAGTTGGCTATCTCTAACAGAAGACTTTAGCCTGTAGTAACATCAATTCACTGTTGAATATATATATATATATATATATATATATATATATATCTTACAGATTATTGGAAAGAAGAAACTCGTGTTATTTCACAATATATTTATTCATAGAAAAGTGAAATTCACAGAGGCAACAAAAATATTTGCTTGTTTTTCCTAGGTTAGAATAGATTTGGTATCCACTTCAACTAGACTTTTCATACCTTCAACTGCAGCTGACCATTCATTTAGACGAGCACACATACTTGCAATCTAAAGCGGAAAAACAAGTAGAAAATAGAAGAAAATTTATGCTTTTTCAAACTACAAGTAATCAGCATACTGACTAACTGAGTTTGAACAAAAAACTTTGCATGGAAGTGTAGCAGCAGTCCGACTTCTCGAAACACTCCATATAGCAGACAACATCAGAGAGGAGAACAAAAGTTCAGCATAACAATATAACTATAAATATTAATGATAACATGAATAAGAGAGAATATAAGGCATCTACAATTTTACCATATAAGGAGGTGACATCTGAGACCCTAAGTAGGATTCATAATAAAGCCAGGAATCGAAGTGGCATTCAAGCTTACAAAATCACTCAGAGACAACTTCTGTACACTAAAGAACCCTGTAGGTTGACCTAACTCAAAAAATAATATAATTTACAAAATAGCTTGCAACGACTGTGAGTTAAGTCAACTACATAGGTCACACCAGAAGTAGATCGAGGGTAGTCAGATTGATCCCACGAAGATAAATAATCTAGAAAAAAAAGCTCAGCAATTGCACTGCATGCATTAACACACAACCACACATTGGGGTGGGAGAGGGTAAAAATTCTAAAAAGTAATATAGGTAGGTGAAGCGTGAGAGGTTGATTACTGAGTCTTTGTTGATATAATCTGCACCCGACACACGCAACAGGAATGACTTATCGCTCATACCAGAAATATGGAAAGCATTACTACTGACTGAGTCAAGAGATGAGAAATAGTGGAATCGTATAAATGAAGTTAGAAAGTTGTGTTAGGAACTTGATATGATTAAGAGCAATAAACTGTGCTTGCAACGTCACCAGTAAACATTACTGTATATTACTGTCAGACTTTATCAAAACAATTGTTTTCCATAATGGAATTATACTTTCCCACAGTGGCCAAGTTCTATTCTTACATCAATAAGTTTAACGGACAGAAACGTAAGGGAGACAGAATAATAATAAATAAAAGTATGATGGTCTAATAGATACACAAGACCAGAAAAGGAGGATGCACCTGCATCATTGAGAACGATTTTGAGGAACAATATCACTACGAATCTTCCAGTCATCAGTATACCAAATCTCAGGCTAATAATGAAATGTATACATATGATTCCTACAACAATTCGATGGGATTTCTGTAACAACTTATCAGGGAGACAATATGTAAGAGCTAGTAATATCATTACCTAGTAGCCAAGAGGCTGAAGTGTCAGGGTAAAGTTTTTTCAGGGTGGTTCAGGCAACTGCCATTCAGATATATTTCACTCAACAAAAGAGACCAACATATTCACTGCATAATGAATGCTGGTTTTTAGTAACGAGGGATATTTGTACAACCTTATAATCACCTCAAGTTAATAATAATATTTATATGCTTCTTACAGCTACTTGAGGGCGTTAGATGAGACAGGAAAGAGTGTCCTGCGAATGTTTTTTTTCTCCCTTGCTTTCAATGCTTAAGACGTGATGACTTGCTGGTGCAAGTATAAGACTTTCGGTCAGTGGGTTCCAAGTTTGAATCTCACTTCAACCACTTTAGAATGGTCAGATGGATAGTATCACCAGCCTTCACGCAATAAGTGTGGCTCATAACCTGGAACATTAAAGACATGTTCCGGGAACATAGTTCAAACAATGTTTGAAAAGGTTAGATAAAAGACTAGATATTAAACTAACTGCTAGTCTTTTAAAAAAAGTATAATTATATTTGATCTAATCCACAATGCTCAAACTTTTTACTGATAATGCTAGTCTTTTCATAAATTCTTTTGTGTTCCCAGTGGAACATACGACTTCGAGCTAAAGCTTTGAAGTTTCGGCAGCAGTGGTGTTGATTTTCACTGGATGGGGTTGCTAGCCTCATGCCCAACCTTCCATCTTTACCAGTTTAATTCTTACTTATTATTACTAATTTAGCGAGGTAAAGGATTGCGTCGGCCGTAGATCGAACCCCGAACCACATGCGTGGTTGGCGAGCATTCTACCTCTGTGCCACCAACACAACTGACGCAAAAAAATTATCCCACTACTTGACAAAAAATGAGGGAACTGCATTCACACGGGGTTGAGGTTGGCCATTTCATCTTTATCCGGACTGCATTTAAGGTGCATAGACGTAAATGGATAAATTAGAATAGCTAATAAACTTCGAAACAGGACATAAAAAGGAACAGAAATAAAATGAAGTTAAAATAAGCGAAAACGCGTTAAAGAGAATCAAGAATATTGAAATGAAGGTTGCCGATAAAATACTTAAAACTCCGAAGGTAACAGGATACATTTATGTCAAATACCACTGCAACTCACTTTCAACTATCTCAATATGAGTCTTACACACCAGTGACTTCCGATATGTTCAGCAACCCCCTACCACAGACTAACACAGTTGAGAACTTCACAGATTTTCAGACGGTTTAAATGACTAGTATGTTGAAGAAAGTATTGTGATAACACGCACGCACAAATCTGTTGATTAATACTTTTAACCGATTTATTTAGAAAATATTAGGATAGACAGTGAGCATTCACAATTTTCAAAAATATAAATGATTCATACTGAAAATGTATTGGTCGTACGGAGTTCTGTTTAGAGCTACGCGTAAGATGGTAAATTCGTGTTCAAATAAGTAAGGCTAACGAATACGTTCATCAAACAATTTTACTCTGAAATAATAATAGAGAAGATTTGTAGTTCCGGTGTGTGATTTTGATATGCTTCTGTTCTCTGAGTTGGGTATTTTAATTTCGAACATCTTACTTCAAAGCAGGTTTTAGTATGAATTGAATTTATTTGAACTCTCCATGAATGATAATATATAGTTTTATCTCTTGATAAGAATTCATTAGGAATGAAAACAGACTGTTAAACACTCAATTCGATTCAAAGATATCAATATCATAGACAACTTGGGTGGTTTAAATGGTTCTACTTGTAAGATTAGATTAAAAAAATGCATTATTGTATTTGAAGTAGAACAAAAGGAACGACAACTTACTTGCTCTTTATCTAAAACACGGGGTTGTAACCAAGTTAATGCAACACATTGATTCACTTCATCAATACGTCCTTTTATCAATTTTAAAGAAAGTGCTTTCATCAAGAAATGTTCAACCTGAAAATATTAAGTAATACAATGTTAAATATAAATAAAAAACAGATATGGAAGTCAAATGAGTAATTCGGTGAACAAATATGCATACCAATAGGTATACTATTCACCTGGTGGTGTCGCATAACGTAACTTGCTAGAAGAGAGCTTGAGTTTGTTGTCAACTGACTTTGATTTCTGATTCACTAGCTTTACTTAAAAGAAAACATTATAACAGAATTATGGATAATATACAACTAAAATCAAGAAGTCCTACACAGCCATCTCGCTTGAATTTGGAATTCTCCGATATTGCAGACTAACTGAAATAGAATCCAATGATATATATAGGCATTTATCTTGCACGAATTTGAGGTACAGTGTTACTAATATCTACCCTCTCCTATGAGACTTGATAGACCCAATATCAGTTAGAACTTCTGACTAGAATTCTACCTAAGGAGTAGTCACTAATGGGCAGTGAATCGATAACAAGTTTGAGGAGAATAGCGACAGCCATGAAATTATAGTCTCCATTGAAGGTCAGGGTAGAAGTAGTGGCTGGACTTGCCGCTGGTGAGCGTCAGATTGATATACATATGTTGGTTTGCCAGCCCTATTCAAGTAGGTATTTATCAAAGTTATAGTGAGCAGACGTCACCAGTGGGGGACAGCAGGTAGGGTTTGAGGTCAGATAATCGCCGCCGATGACAGTGATTAGTGGTCGCACTATGTCGTAAATTTGTTGAAATTCATGGCCTGGCCAAAGTATCGGGTACCAGCGGCTTAATGGTCTACGGGCTCACCTTGTAACTGGAAGGTCCTGGGTTCGAACGTGGTGGTGTGGGTACGTACCGCTGAAAAGTCCCAAACTAGGATGAAAAAGTTGCCCAGTACTTCCAGGTTTTCAGTGATTCTCTAACCAATGTCTGTTCATGATGAAACCCTGAAACCAACACCTGAACATAGAATATAATTCAGTAAGGTGAGAAGCTTTTTGATGGATGGTAACCAGCAGTGAAATCCAAGATTTCTTGGACTCGTCATCTGGATATACATCTAAAATATCCAGTGAATGACGGTGTTCCCAATGGAACCCAAATCCAGCATCAAAGTGTGATGTATTGAGCCATGTGAGAGAGCCTCCTTTTGTGCAACGGGTACCAGTTAACGCTTCGGCGTTTGAAACGTTGGGTGCCGGATCCGAGTCTCAGTATGAACACCACTATTCACCTGGGGATGCAGCACATTCGGTTGACGAGTCCTAGATAGAAGGACATGTGTATCACCTGTAGTCACCACTCACCAAGTAACATCAACGTACTAGGAACTGACACATGTCAACAGATAGGAGATATTTCGGTCCGAAATAATCAATGGCAAATACAAAATTAAGCAGAGAAATTACTCATTGAAAATAATTTTTATCAAAAGTATCATCAACTTACTTTATCGACTGGAACTCTAGTTACAGCTGAGATTTCAGCAAATGTCAATGTACGATTGTTAGCCGGTCGTCGAAATACCGTTTCAACTAAACACAGCAGTGTAACTTTATCTCTTAATTTTGGTTCAGCGGCGACTAAATCTGCTTGAATACACCAACGACTACGCAACTGGTCCAACTGATTCAAATCTCCTCGATTGAATGCCTGTAACAAGTCGACAAGCCATGCTTCTGAAGAGCCATGTAGGCTGCTTAAAATACCATGAGTAAGCTATGGAGAAGAATAATGAAAGATATTGCTGACAAATATACAAGTTTAAGAGTAATTGGAGTAGTATGGTAAACAATCGAAACAACAGTAAGCACTTCAATGCTGAAATGTGAAATCATAGACAACGGTATACAACACGTGCTCAAGTGATAATTAATCACATCTAGTGTGTGTGTAAACTGATGACGCTAAAGTGGCTGTGAGTATTGTTGTTTTCAAAAGTGGCCGACTGGTTTTTATAAAAGTAGTGATTAGACATACCGGCAGTTGTTGGAAGGCTATGAGATTAGGATTGAAAACAATGCTTCATGGAGGAGGCTACATCTATTACCAGCGCAGCATCTTAACAACTAAGTAGCTACAAGAAATCAACAGTCATGCCCATCTGTTATTTTAATAAAAAGGAGCGGTATGTAACTGTAAATCCACCAGTTACATCAGAGTCAAAACCAGATCGTCTGATATTAAAAGTAATGAAAAATAACTGGTATAGTTGTGTGTTGACGAAAAGTGAGAAAGTTTCCAGTGAAAACTAACTATAAGGCCGCATCCGGAAATGACTATTAAACTCATGAAGAATTCTAAAAGTCCACTTCAAATTTAGGAAAACACTGACGAGGTTGTCTTCATTGGTTTTTGCCATCCCGGTGACTCCAACCAGATAGTCTACACCTCCCGATGTGACTGGCTGGCTTAAACTAACTATTATAGATTTCACTGACTGATGAAGTCATGTTTTTGTTTGACTACCGCTAGCTCTCTTCCAACCTGATTCATTCTATGTCACCCAACATCGTCCGTCGTGGAGGAAGGCCTTGGCTAGTATAGGAATGCGTAGTACATATTCTAACCGTCTCAGTCAGTGCAGCTGCTTCAAAAACTCATCGACTGATTTCCCCTCCTCACCTAGCACTCACTGGATGTCTAACCTCAACATTGCCCACCTTATTATACCACCTAACACCGGAGATAGAACGTAGACACCCATGATCAAACACAGCTAGCTGACCTTTTAATGTCTTCCAATTTCAATGGCCATGAAGGAGGATGGAGCGAACTGCTGAGCAGTACACACGCCCTTTTATAGACAACCAGTCGTTGTTAAGAAGTTACATATACGTGCGTAGATACCGACCATGCACTGGTCCGCGCTCGGGTGTGCTTACGACTGAACGGACGTAGGAAACAGCTGGCGGTAAAACCATCACGTCCCCAGCTCGATCAGGAAACTAAATCCGTATTTCAGGAAGAACTAGCTAAACACATATCTGTGTTCGACAGCTGTGCTCACCCTGAAGAAGCTTGGAAAAATATCCAGGCAGCCATAGATACAGCTGTAAAAGCTGTGAATAAGGTAAACCCAAAGGTGAGTAAAAACCACTGGATCTCCACCGCCTCATCCGAACTGATAGATGCTAGAAGACTTATTCCGGCGAGCTCCGAATTCAATGAGGAGCGAAAGCTGCACAAGAGGAAACTTACGAAAAGTCTCCGCAAGGACCGTGAACAGTGGTGGGCGACAAAAGCCAAAGAGATGGAGAAAGCTTTGAGGATAGGCAACACCAGGCAACTCTTTGGACTCATCAGGGAAACGGGTGGGAGAAGACAAATCATTAGTGAGACAATCTCGGAAAAAAATGGCACTATAATTAGCTCACAGGATAGACGACTGGATCGTTGGAAAGAGCATTATGAGGAGCAGTTTAATTTGCCCACAGCCACGCTCAACCTTCCGAGCATCCAACACCTCCCTGAATGGGATATAGACACAGGTCCTCCGTCACTAACTGAGGTTACTAAAGCTGTCACCAATCTGAAACTAGGCAAAGCAGCGGGACCTGATGGAATGACGCCAGAGGTATTTAAGTACGGTGGAGACAGCTTACTGTCCGGATTAACTGAGGTACTAGGCAGCGTCTGGGAATCAGAAGAAGTCCCATCGGGTTGGTGTAAGTCACTGATTATCCCCATATACAAGAAGGGAGACAAGTCTTCCTGTGATAATCACAGAGGGATTAGCTTGACTAATATAGTATCTAAAGTCTTAGGCTCAATAATCATGCGTAGACTGAGTGGTGCTCGGGAAGCACAAACACGAGAGAGCCAGGCAGGCTTTAGACCAGGAAGAGGGTGTATTGATCATATCTTCACCCTCCGACAGATTCTAGAACATAGGCATTCCTACCGGCGTCCAACAGTCATTATATTTCTTGACCTAAAGGCAGCATTCGACTCTGTCGATCGGGAAGTTCTCTGGAGATGCTTGGCTGTAAAGGGAATTCCAAGAAAATATATTGCACTGATTAAGGCACTCTATTCGTACTCATACAGCCAGGTGAGGGCTTACGGCGAGCTGTCATCTGAACTGATGACGACCAGTGGTGTCCGTCAAGGATGCCCATTATCTCCTTTTCTATTCAACTTCATCATAGATGTGTTAATGGACTTAACCCTAGGTGACTTCAGCGACTCAGGGATTGACTTGCTACCGGGGAATAATCTCGTTGACTTGGAATATGCAGACGATATAGTCCTTCTAGGCGAAGACGCTGACGAAATGCAGAGTCTTCTAAACACCTTGAGCCGCAATCTACGAATGTTTGGCATGCGATTCGCTCCCGCCAAATGCAAGATGATGTTACAGGACTGGACTACATCGACGCCTAGTTTAAAAATAGGAAGTGAAGTGGTAGAGCACGTTGACCGCTTCACTTATTTGGGAAGTACCATCAGCCCCAACGGGCTGATCTCTGACGAAATCTCAGCACGAATACAAGGGGCTCGTTTCGCATTTGTTAGTTTACGCCGACTCTGGCGTAGACGAGATGTTCGACTATCGACCAAAGGGCGGGTGTACTGCTCATCAGTCCGCTCCGTCCTCCTTTATGGTTGTGAGACCTGGCCACTGAGAGTGGAAGACATGAAAAGACTAGCTGTCTTTGATCATAGGTGCCTGCGTTCTATTTCCCGTGTAAAGTGGCATAATAAGGTGAGCAACATGGAGGTTAGGCGTAGAGTTCTAGGTAAACAGGGGAAATCAATCGACGAAGTCGTGAAGCTACAAAGACTGAGATGGTTAGGACATGTGTTACGTATGCCAAGCCATCGCCTCCCTCGACGAGCAATGTTAGCGGATATAGGGTCAGGCTGGAAAAAAGCTAGCGGCGGTCAAACAAAAACTTGGCATCAGTCAATGAAATCCACAACAGTTGGTCTAAGCCACGTAGGAAGGTGTAGACTTCCAGGCTGGGGTCCTCGGGACGGTAAAAATCTATGGTTGGAAACAATTGGTGACATGGCTCAAAATCGTTCTCAGTGGCGCAGATGCATCCACTCCCTGTGACTTATGATCTTCAATGAAACTGTTTTGTATTTCTTTATTACTCCTTTGTCTCACACCTCTGCTCACTGTTTCTATTATGCTTTTCTTGTACTTTCTTCTCTTGCTTCGCGTGCTACACGGAATGTGGCGACTTGAACTTCCGCACATTTGTGCAAAGTTCTATGTCGAAAACAGACAGACAGACATATACATACACATCGTACATTGTGAGGTAGACTTTGTACAAGGTTGATACAAACTATAGAGTTGAAAATTCTCAGCTATTAAAGAATATCCAGTTAATGTGATTTATGTGATCAGAGTTATTGCCCAGGGGAGATGAATAGTATCAGAACAATTCATTACACACTTAGTCATACTTTCAAAACCCTCGTTTATTTTTTTAAATGAAATACAGCAGTTTTAGACCCGTCATCCAATGCAAGATATTATGAGTAAAAATAAATTTTCTGAAACTATTATATAACTGAGCTATTTTTATTCCTAATAGAGATATTGTATCAATGCATAGAACAGAAGAAGCATTCAACTTTCTTACAAAAAAGCAAACAAAATAACTGAGCGAATATTATAAAAGTAAAACCAACCAGTTCACCAAAGTTGTAGACACCTTCACCGAGAATAGCAGCTAAACCGACGGAGAACGCCCAACCTCTTTGTTCTTCAATAGTCAGAGTATTTAAGTCAACACAACCAAGAAAACGAAGTGCTTCTTGGTAGAATTTAGCATGTTGTCCAGTGACCTAATGATTTTTTCAAAGAAAATGGATGCATAATGTACTGCCGTTTTTTGGAAAGAAATATACAAATGCGAATGGATAAATCTGGTCAGCATGAATGGCAGTAAGCTTAGTAAATCAATAGATACAGAAAGTGGTCACTAGTTTTTCTCAGTAAGTGAACGTCAAGTACTTAAACCAATGAATCCCTCTCTTCTACGAACGTCAAATCGAGCTAATTTATAAATTTCTCAGTAAGCACGATTTAGGTAACAGAAGTGCGTTGTTAGGCTTTTTGAATGGACTTACCAGTACAGGTTGGCTCAGATGCATTAAAATGTTATCTTCCTTATGAGACGATAAGTTGTTTACTTTAGCCTTTTTTTCCTTAATTTCAGCTAATCCGTTATATATGACAACTTGGTTTAATGCTTAAACAATAGTCTTGTTAAGATTATTAGTTCCCAAACCGTAGACGTTACGAATTTCCTGGTATAATTTGATCTCCGAGTCAGATTAAATCATCATAAATTATTTAAAATAATCCAAGGGTGTTTAAAAAAACTCAAAACAAGATTTTTCCGAACGTTTAGCTATGTAGCCCCCACAGCTTTTTCAGCACGATTAGTCACGTTTTATTAACCATCAAAATATGTTGTCAACACTAACATTTTACAAATAGACGTAAAAGCAGACGGGTGATGGATAAAACTATAAGCTCCTTTCAATAGAAATTAGCGACGACATCAGCGAAATCTCTGACTATTAGCTCTAATCTATCCTAGTATGTTTCATTTGCCTAGTTGGTGTCTTCAATATCATTCCCAAACTCAGTGATTGGAGATTCATGACGATATAAGCTTAGACGATATCCACGGTTAATCATAAAAAAAAATTCGGAATACTTTCACTGGTTTTCACTTTAATTAATGACAGTTGACTGCAAACAACATTAAACCTTAGATAAATAACTCAAAATAATTAGTACAGTTTTCAGACTAGGGGACATGACTACATCAAAGTTTATTTTTATTACCAAAGTATCTTCTAGATATGTGCACAGATCACAACCTACTTTTAGTCAGAACCAAACTTCTGCAAATCTGTCATGGTTATGCTACCGGGCATCATTCATCTATCAATCAAACTTAGGCTCATACAAAAAATGCATTGAAATATGATAACGAACGGGGAGGGGCTTACATTCATCTTACTCTCTTTCTCCCCCACTTCTCCCTCTCTCTGTGTGGATTATCTGACATGTCTATTCTTTATACCAATGAAAGTTTGCGTTAATCGTTTAGTGGTGGAATACTCGCACACTACTAAACGTTGCTTAACCAGTAAACAAGTTCGGTAATGAAGGATGGTCGGTTGTGACGCCAGCAACTTCAAGGCAAAAAAATAACAACATAACCACTATAACTTTAAACGCTTAACGCCCCATATTCCACTAGGAACGCGGAAGTGAAATACGAATCTACACTTATTCTATTGGAAGAGGATATTAACCCGTTTATCCTTCAGTTCACTTTCTTATTATACTACTGTCTAATTAACTGGTGTGAAGTAATAGTAATTTCATTGTATTATAACTTGTCTCAAATATCGTCCAGTCAGAAAGCTGCCTAAATGATAGCTACATATATAAAACGCTGTCTGGAATCATAAAGTAACAAAGTGATATTTAAAATTCTAGATAATTAATAAGTATACCAGAACAACCATCTGTATTTCTAAACATCCTATTCATTAAATATAGTATGTATAATTATTTACCTGATAATACCTAGAACTGAGTTGGTAGAATCGTGAGTGAACTGTGGTGACACCTTCGATTTCATCCAACTGATTCTGTGTTGTCTCAATGATCTGACGAGCATTCGGCAGATCACTCAATGCTGACAAATAAATCATTCCAATGGTTGTATTAAATAATATTTTAGCTTCTTTAGATTTGGTTGTAAACTGAAAAAAAATAATTAAAAAAAGTTGTGCAATGAACAATTGGATAGGTATTTCTACGACATGTATACTAGAATACATATCAAGAAGTAGATAGGAAGGAATTCAAAACCGATAACAATTCCTGTAACTAGGAAGTTTTCAAGTCCACTTTAAAGATGTGATTCATAGGTGCATATTAAAGTATGCGTTTAAATTCGTGTGAAATCCAGACATCGACATTTATTGTGACGTAATATAGTGTAACATATGTGGTATAGAATAAGCAAAACAGAATGTATGCGAGGTCCTAAAGTAGAGCGTGTTTCAGAGATAATTATACTCATACATTACTAACATCATTTGGAAATCGATTATCTCTAACTTCCTTACTTTACAACAAAATAGAAATAAAGAATCAGTAATGATGACAGGATGAAAAAAGAAAGACATATGTAGGAGAGATAAGCGTAAGTGCGATAAAATATTGAAACTATAAGAAACGGGATAAAGAGTGAATGTATTCATGTGAGTGTAACTAATAGATAATAGATGCGCTACAGTAGATAACAACAGTTGGGAACCATTTTGGATTTCGGAAGCCGTTTTAACTGCCGAATGGCTGACAGTCATTGTCTTTCTTTTTTGTCACTGAAAGCAGTGACCATAGACAACTAACTGCTTAAATTGCATTCGTCGAGTTATTTTCAAAAACTGAAGAAAGAAAATTGCAGCATGTTCACCACTGATTGCAATTCTTGGCCATATCCGATAACGTTTCAAGCCATAGATTCGAGCACTCTTTGGCCGGAAACACGGAGTCGTGAAGCACCAACCGATGCTAACCCAACACAAATATCCTTCATCCTGTGACACTACACAATGGGCTGACTACCGCTCCGCTTTTCCCATCCTGTCTCAGGACTAGGAAACAGAGACCGGTATGGAAGCCTCTGGGATGACATTCGTAGCGCACGTCCAAAGGCACCGGAGCCAGTGTTTTCAGATGATGATACTCAGTGAACAGCGATCTCCACTATTTTCGAACACACGCTGACGGACCTCAAAGTTATTCACACGATGACACCATCGAATGAAAGCGATTCTACTGAGATAGAGATGATTGAATACGCAGAGCCATCGAACATCCTAAGCTCAGAGAGGCTAGGTTTCGCAGGTGCCGAGCAAGGCAGCTAGTACCGAAGCATTGTAAATCCGGCCACTGACAACCAGGCTAACGTCACAAAGGCACCAAAGGTGGCTTAAGTCGATATATACCACCATGGCTTTCATGATACGGTTGGAAATCTCCACCAGCACTCACACAACTACCCAGATACACCTATCGACAACTTCAAGAGGTAAGAAAACCAGAAATAAAATTTCCCCATACCCCTTAGCTGAAACTTCTACCAATAAACTAGAGATAAGACCTGACTGAAGATGATCGTATCGTACTGATATAAAGGACGAGTAGTAGGATATAAGAAAATCTAGCCTGGTTATTTTACAAGTGATGCAAAGTCGAAGCATGAATAATGCCATCACACGCAAGAGTGCAGGTTCGCTAGTAAAAAGGGGATTTTACTGATTAAATTCTTACAACATTTGACATTGTAAGTTTAATTTATAAATCCGTAGACAGTATATTACTTCTATTAAGAAATACTAACATTTTAAATTATTACAAGAATGCATGCGTTCTTGTAGATTATATCTACAATTTGACAGTCATTGATAAACCGTTTACCCCAAATGAAGTATAAAAAACTGAATTCAAAACTATGAAGCAAGTGTTGAGCGACTATTTGCTAGACTAATGAAATATACTCCTAATAGCATACTAAGTTTTGAGCTATTTACTATTCACGAACAGCCTTTGGATTTCGACGTTTTCCTCTTATCATGTTATTGGTATATTTCTCAACAAGTACGCGCGTATGTCCGTGCACATGGAGATGCGACAGACCTATTTGGTGAGTGCTAATGGAAGTATCTGATGATTGTCTAGGCCTTTGTAGGTGGGGCGGAATTCTAGTTCCCAATACAGTGAGCCAGTGTGAATCCTGTAATTGGTGCATAGAAGTGAGATATGTGGCTACTTGATTTTCTGCATATTCCTAAGTCCATAATGTATATCTATTCGAACATAAAATCTAGATTATACAACACGTATTAACTACGCAAAATGATAATCAAGAACGACAAAATACCTCATCACGAACTTCCTCCAGGAATTTGATACCTTTATGAGGATCTGAAAGTAAAATGCCTGCATTAAAAAATTGCTATTCACTACATACCTGTAACTACATATTGTTCACTAATAGGGACACACAGTTCAGCTAATGAAAGAGGATTGATTCTAATGTAAGAAGAGTGAAAATTCATCATATCTTAAACCTACTTGTAAATAAAATCAGCGAGGAAGTTGTTCGTTAACTATAACGGAATATCATTAGAATAACCACAACGAATAAGTTTACTTGAATTAGATCTGTTTTTATCCGGAACTCGGGATTCTTCAGTAGGCTTTCAAGTTTCAATGTCAGCTGATGCCACAGTCTAAAATCAGAAAAAAATGTACATGAATACATAAAAAAGTGTAAACAAATGTCAACATTTAGAAATATTTGTCTACACCTAGGTGATATAATATACCAATCACAAGATTATTACAACTGTATGTATGGCAAACTTATGTCTTAATTTATTATCGCGTATGAATTTATGGACTATCGTCTACAGGAAAAGTACTGTCTACTGAATCAAGCATAACAGATTAGTCTGCCACACTGAAGACGGACAAAATAAGTAGGTAAGCAGAAAAGTAATGCCGTTAGAAATAGAAGCATATGTATAACAGAGACAAGAATTAAATGAGTTCTCACAATCCCACTATTGTCAATTATTTCTAGCCACATTAATCTTCAGTGAGGAATATTTTTAGCACTACGATCAAAGAGAGACGAATGACGTATAAACCTGCTCTGGTTACAAGCTTGTGACTCTGCTCTACTGTTACGATGATCAGAATCAGATTTAGAGAGTGGTTACATACGACAAACATTTGCTTCGGTTTGGACATTTGGACAGTATCTCGGCCTTCACACGGATATGAGTTATGCTACACCAAGTTTGGTTTAAAACAGATACGTAAATAACAATTTTTTCTGCATCCTAAGTACTCCAATCAAACCATCTATACCTAGCCAAATACTCCAGACTAACTACCCTTATATGACTGCATTTGCTTTGCTTCCAAACCTCATCGTCAACCACCTAACACTGCCTTTTAAGAAAGAAGATTCAGTATGTGTAACAAAACGTAACTACCTCATTCGAATGAGATCACAACGTAGGGATTGAATAACCCTCTGCTTTACACACGTAGTAAGTCTACCTGCCATCTTCTTCAACTTAACGCAATACAAAGAACTCAATTAGTCTTTATATATATTTTTTCACTGACTACCTTTCACAACCATAAATTAAGTTGAAGTGAACTGTTGTACAGCACGCATCCTAGGACAGACTGATCATAATGCCTGTGCAAAATATGATGCGAAATTAGGTATGTCAAACGAGCCTATTGTATCTGTGCTGATAATTAGGCAACTAACTCACATGGCTAGATACTTCTCGAATAAGTGAAGTGGTCATTCTATCTGACAAATTTCGCAAGGAAACAGATATACAGATCAATCTACTGCACATTCTCTTTTCCTCCAAAAATTACCATTTTAAGGTAAATAGAAAGCTTTTTATTTGGAAATCTATATTTTGCGATCAGATACGGGCATGCCCTAGTTAAATAATGGGCAAATAAACCAATACGATTCAGCAAACAGTAGAGGATAGTTAAATATCGGTCACAATGGTTAAATTCCGGTCAAACAGTGATAAAAATCTTGTCGTACAATCAAAATTTGCCCATTTTTCTACCATACACCTTGCCCATTAATACTGCTTTTGTCCACCTGGGTTCAACTGACAGATATGTTTATATACACTGAAAGTTGTAGAGGCAGGTCATCAGAAACATACTTATCACTCAGTATTTAGTTGGTAAGTCCTATTCACTTAGACCTTAGATTGTGAAAATATGAGGTGAATAATTATACTAAATAGGCTAAGTGAAAATAAATTTAATTATAATTCAGAGCAATAAGACAGGCAAAATATGTTATATTTTTGTCTTTGTTGTTACAGTTCGGGGGGCGATACGAGGAAATATTACCACTTGCAAAGGTTTCTTATTACTACGACATTATACATACTTCTTAGTATGAAAGTCTGACATTTGTGTCCAGTCATCCTGAAAAGGTCCCGCTTCTTCAATTTTTGAATTCAGATAATCTCGAACAGTTGTAGCTGAGATGGACCACTCAGGTTTCATATTACTAGGACACGAGTAACGTCTAATTTGTATCTCGCGGTCAATTAGTTGCTTTAATGATGAAGCGATTCGGATATTCCACATTTTACGGAATATTGCTGGGTTCCATGAATGTTTGAATGAAAAGTATTATGGAAGTTAACCGTGGAAATAAGAAGCTATCTACGTGAAACCATGAAACAGAAACACCTAAAACAATGGTTTCTTCTGCAGATTTATGAATGAAGCATTCACAATTTTAACGTGCACTCAACACTACTCAAGAGTTGTCATACAACAAGTGAAAAATCTATTTCCTCTTGCTGAATCATGGAGGAATAAGATCAGTACTGCACTATAGGGGTCATGACAGCAACTTCATTTTCTGTCCAGAAACAAACTACACAATACTGTTTAGAACTTACGTCAATGTATGTCATATTCAGATAATGAGGCTATTAGTGCCCTGTATTTATTCTTTCAATATGTATCTCTGCAGAAATATAATATCTCCCTGAAGGCGTTCACCAATGGAGCTGATGCTACTTAACCCTGTAAGGAGTTTTATTTGCAGATCATTCTATGCCAGGATGTAAATTCCACACACATTCTATTCGTCCGCAGTTCGACAGCCTTTCTGTGGCAGCCTTGCAAATGCATTTTAGAGGTAATAAAAAGTTGAAAACGTTAGTCTCCAAATCATCCTTTAACAGACTATTTACCAAAACTAAGTCACCTCTCCTACTCCGGTACGCTGTTGGGAAGAGACTTAAATGTTATATCCCCTTCCCATAAGGAATGTTTGAGATACCACAGACTAATCAGGTTACCACTCTTCATAATCTTCCTAAAATGTGTGCCTATTCAGCAATAAATGGGCTATCCACCTCAGTTAACTATTTGAGGTCGTCTGACATATTGCGAAGACTACTTTAATTACAGAATCATCTAGTCATTTGAAAGTCCTTCGAAACGTCCACAGCATTCGAAAATCTTTAGCTGCAGCTGAATTACAATGTGCAATTGTTTTAAAATCAAGTTTGGTAGTAATTCCAAAGTCATTCTTTTTAACAACACATATCTCTGTATCCCCTAGTTAGTATAGTGTATAAGACTTCTGACCTGGGTGCATTATCGAGTTTTTGCCGGAATGAATTTCCGACCCCAGATGTGAGACCATATTATTTATTTACCCTGACCACCTTGTAGGACTAATCCTTCATGCTTATTATTTACAGTTTTCATTATCTGACTGTCGTCCGGAAATGGTTGTGATGAAGTAGGCATTTTCGGCAGTTTTCCAATAAATAACAGTCAATAGCTAAACGCTTATGACTATCTATAATATATTTGCTATAATACACGTCAAACTTACGTACCAGTAGCCAGAAATAGGTCACTTATATTCCCCTTTGAAGATGAGGCTTTTGACTGTGTCCTTCCAGTCTCTAGGTAGTCTGGCTCGATTCACAGACATTTGAAAAATCCCTCTAGGTGGTAATTACCTAATATCTGCCAACATATCCGTCAGTTTAGAGCGAAAACCGATAGGCCTCGGTGGTTAACCTAGATTCATTTTAGGCTATAGTCTATTTGCCGGGACTCAAGAAAATTCAGTGATTTCACTGAACTACCGCTACTTTGCCTCCAACAATGACTTTGTTTATTGTTACGTAATGAAACATATTTCGGCTACTTGGATTTACAAAGGACAAGAGCTCAGTTGCTGCCTTATAGTTTGACTGTGTATCCCTATATTATTTCCACGTCATTGCTAGTGAATATGTATTTGAACAGCCTACAAATGTCATTTTCTGCCTTCACTAGTTGGGGCAGTGTTAAGTTCAGTCTGGTAGCAGGTTAACTAAGCCAGGTTGAAGAGTCAGTGGGTTGCGTGATAGAAGACCACATCTAGTACGATAGATGACCACACAACCATGACAAGTGATATTTCTGAATGAAGACTATCGGATAATGAGCTGGCAGTCGTTCGAGCTGAGTTAGCATTCTGTTTCCTAGATAACAAATACTCAGCAATCTATCAGAGTAGAAGGTAATTTGGAGGAGCTGGAACCGAGCTCAGCCGATTCCTGGGCTTTACTACCAGGCGATATAACACTGAGGAAAAATTCAAAGGAGTTTTCGGTCTTCGCTTCATCAGATTCAACCGCTCACCTACACTGTTTATCGGTAACGATATTTTCCTCCCAGTGTTTAAGAGATAAGTGCAGACTTTCGAGACAGCGTAGACAGTTCGAAACAAACACTATCTCATATTCCATACGATTTTAATCAATCATATAATTCCGAATTCTACGGTAGCTTATCTGAAACTTCGTTCCCTTGTTATAGGAAGCCAATCCCATTGTTTTTGTTTTCTTCATACGCTCATTTCACCACAAACCCAAGGTGGTTAGTGTGATAGCTGCAGAGATTATGTGCTCTAGACCAGTGAATAAAGGGCGAACTATCACATTCATAATTGTTCCTGAGCGTCGCTCAAGCCTCGCTCATCTGTACTGACTGACCATGTGAGATTATATGGTAGGTCCTTCTCATGAAGAGGGGCTGTTTGCTTTATCCGACTGGTATTTTCGCGATTTAGATGATTCGGGTTGTGGCTAGTTTGCTTTGTCTGTTCCAAGTGAATGCAGCTGGCGTGATTTTGATGTTTATTTGTCTTTTGTTGGGCAAATTTGTATAGTAGTTGTCTTTTGATATTGTTATTTGCGCAGCATGACGCTTAGTATGTTTTCATGTAACGATTACTTCGGCTACCGAGTATGCCTCAGTTACATTTCAGTGAGTGACTCTTACAATTCCTTTGCGGCTTGGTAGCAACCCGAAATCGGTCGTAATTCTTCTGATCAGCTGTTGTACATCAAACATTCTCTACATAAAATATTCTCTCAAGTATTCTCCATTTACTCCCAAAACCTTAACCAGTTTGAATATACATTGAAACATCTTTGAATATTTTGCTACATATGAATTACTCAAGCATCATCGTGGTCAGGCATGTAAAGACATCTCATTATTGTATCATTCTCTTACTTTATCGTTGTTCATGGTACCATGAATTCTTTGCTTTTACTTTTATCCGGAAATCTCATTAAGTGCGTTCATTTAACGATAATTAGCAGAATAACATATCGGAATTATACGGATGTAGTGTCCAGCCTTTTTGAACATTACAGACATAAATTTCACAGGTAGTTCTTATGTCCCGTTGCGCTAGAAATATTGACTAATGTTATCGCACTCTGGCATATCCACTCAGTTGGGTTTACCGCATTTCACTTGCTAAATGTTAGGATGAAGAGGTTTTACTTATAGATGGAGTCATGAATCTCGAGAACATATGCCATGGTGACGTATTCACTGCTGCCCAGTGGCGAGAGGCACCTAAAATGGCTTGCATCTTACAACTGGAGAGTTGGCACCAAATTCATAATGGAGGGATCATGTGCATGAGAGTATAGTGTTGATGCAGGCACTTGTTGCACTAAAACACATGTCAGTCAACTATCAGAAACTGTCAATGTCCAGCTCTTACTACGCTAGACCTCACGCTGTCCCTCGAAGACTTTCAGAAGCAATTTTAATAACCAACGCGGAAAACCAGAACACACTGGCGACTCGAGAATCCTTTATTCTTACGCCACTATGTTGCCACTGTTGCCGCGCGCTTCTTGAATAAGACGTGCATTTCCTCCCTAACCGGAAATATCTAATTTTGTGAATTATTCGTTTGGGAAACCTGATCTTCCTACCCGGCGAATTTTTATTCAACCACTTCTTCCTCATCGAGCCTGTGTGTGGTACTTCCCGCTGTCTCGAACTACTGCCAAAGTTTCAGGTGCTACTTCTGTAGCAACATCCTCCTCACTCTTTCAAATATACAGGACTTGTGGGTCTGTTACGTGTTTGCTGTGAAGCCGAATAACCCGAAAGTTGCAGGTAAAGTCAAAAGCTTTTACTTACATACTTTATCCTTCTTTTCTGTGCTCTCTATTGTCTTTTGCTGTAAGTCTATTGGAAAAAATAACAGTCTCTTATTATTTAATCACCAGTATTAATTTAGTAGTAAAATGACAATAGATTCTCAACCTAAAATAAGTAGTGGGACATCATACTCTGTAGTCACCAGGGCGTCAGCCAAACTGGGCAAACAGGTGAAGCTGATGGATTCACGCATACCGGTCTTGAAGACCAGGGCTGATATTCCCAGCTCGTACAGATTACCTACGTTGCCACAGTCCTACAGTGAAGCTGTGCAAAGTCAGCCAAGTGGATGTGGCTCCACCCCTGTTAACATGACTAGGTTAACAGATCCGAGTGGGAAAATTGCACTAAGTGAGAACTGCATAACACCCATCCCCTTGGTAGGCCATGAAACAAATAGGAAGGCCAAAAAGAAACGTTCACGACGTCGCAAGACGACAAGAACGCCCCCCAAGAACGCAGACGACTGCAAGGTCTGCGCTTCTGTCGTCCAACAAGCAGAATCTGCTTTCGAATGTAACTTTAGCAAGCGATGGGTGCATTGCAGATGCGACAATGGGGTACCAAAAGCATATTATGACTTTATGCGTAGAAACCCATGCCAATGGTTCTGGTACATATGCCCGAGTTGCCGTCCTGATGTAGCCTCGCGTAGTCCTTTGAAAACTAAAGATGGCACAGAAGTAGCGAGGAAAAATATGAAATGTTCGACCAGCACCAACCCGGAAATTAGTACAAACGCGCGTAAACCGGGGATACCAAAATCCTCACTCTTTAAACCTGTAACACTTGACATAACCGCTCCAGACACAGAGGCTGGAGAACCACGGGTCTCCGTCACTGGAAAAAGACCCCTATCGTCTGCCAGCATTACTGGCCATAGCGCTGAGACACACGAAAATACCCAGTCGCACCAGACGAAACAAGACGGTCTTAAAGGGGATCACAAATGTGCGAGGACCGAGCCCAAGCCCACGGTTGGTAGATCAAATTGTGTAATCCCCCTTAATGTACCAGACTGTAGTAGTAGTCTGCTGAAAGATAGGGCCCTATTTGATCAGGAACAGTGGTCCATCTTGTGTAGCACACTGGGTTTGGACATCCAACCGG